ATAATGGCTGAAAGAGTTCAGCATTATATGTCCCTCAACCCCAAACCTGCTCCACCAATTGAGGTAAGCAACTAGGCATATTATACTTCAGAACAGTCGTCTCATATAACAATGTGTAACCAACTTTATTTCACTCTGAATCAAGAATAATTACAGCGTGTTCAAAGCATAACCGGAACATAGTTGAAAATTAACATAACCCAAGTCCCATAAGTCCCTGAGCACTTCTCCTGTCCTCGCCATTTTATTTCGCTCTGTGGAAAGCATGGTTGTGAAAGGTAGTGGTGCGGATAATCTGACCCTTAGCCAAACCATCGATGGACAATCTTCAAGCAGTACGGTTCAGCAGGGTGCACCCAAAGGTAAAGATCTTGTTTCCGAACTTTTTAAGGATCCGGATGCATTAAATTTGCTCCGGAATGCACTTTTTTCACAAGCCCCGAGTGAAACGGATCCTGGAGTGCTTAAGGCTCATCATACAGCTCCAGATTTAGAAACCCCAGCGACTAAAAGGCCAAAAAGGGGAAAGGAACACTCTCACGAGGTCATTCATGTTGATGCAAACCCTGAGCAAGTGATCCAGGGCAATGAAAGTTTTGATGCAAGTAATGATGATGAGCATGACATCAATTCTGCCTCTCGTTGGCAAGCCAGTGAGCAGCTTGCCTGGTTCTTAGGAATTTTACAAAAACCACTACCCGCATTTGAATGCAAGACCATATGCCAGAAATTTCCACGTCCTGATGTGGATGCTTTTTATACACCCACTCTGGATCTATCAAGCCTTGTCCCTGGCGTGAAAGCAGCAGATAAAGAAAACAAATTTTTGCAAGATCGGCTTCTAGATTCTTTGGGCCCATTAAGCGTCATGTTTCAACATATTCAAGGTTTCTTAGCTTAGGAGAAACCAGGCTTAAATATTACTCTATTGTACGCCCAGATGTCTGAACTGGGATCCATGGTGTGCAATGCCATGAAATTGGTTAGCAATTCATCCACTCTACTATCCAAACAGCACCAGACAGCGGCGCTTAATAAGATAAACACTAAAGGAACACTCATCTCTTTGGCTTCAGAGGAGTTCCCAGATGCCGGCAAAAACCTTTTTGGGGAAGGTTTTGAATCAAGAATTAAGATGAGGTCAGAGATGGCCAAGACTTTGCTACAGGCCTCTTCAGTTGGCCAAGATGCAAAGCCCTTTTTTCATGGGCGCACCACTC